TGCCTTCAACTTCACTCTGGTACTGCTCTGCCATGCAAATGACCCCTCTAAGCCAATGTCTTTATTTATAGTACATATACCGGACAAACATATAATCGTACACACACATGCACAAAAGTGTGTTTTTATGTATATATGTATGGTCTAAAAAGAATTAAGTAAATCTTCCTGCATGGACACTTAGCTGGGCTAAAGATACAACTTCTTGTATCTAGACGTTTGGAAAAGTTACTGTTGAACACATTTATTTTCACTTCTGGAAAAACATTCTTCTCCCCTACATTTCTCTGATACCTTTCTTCCCCAGACCCATCTGAATGAAACACTCCAGGAAAAGGACGTAGTTTTTTTCCTGCAAGATACAGTGCAAATTACTGCCCTGTGTCAGCAGCACTTAACAGTTGGTTTAGTTCTATGGATACCACTAGTGTTTTAGACCTGTCAAAGTCCTGTCCTTGTCCTTGGAATGCAATTATTAAACGTTTCACCAGAAATGATCACAGCTTTTCCCTTCTCTCTGCAGGAAATGTACTAACAGAGTATTTGTGTACAACTCCAAGAAAGGAGACTGGAGAGATCTGGCTCCCATGAAAGTGGCTCGCTCAATGTTCGGGACAGCGATCCATAAGGGCAAGATTGTGATTGCGGGTGGTGTCACTGAAGAAGGCCTTACTGCAGCTGTTGAAGCTTTTGATCTGACCACCAATAAGTGAGTGAAACGTACTAGCTCTTTTTAAGCAAGCGTTTTATCATCCAGACTTTCAGTATCTCTGAGATAAATCACAAAGGTGTTTAGGTCTCTATGTTTCCCCTACGACAATTAGTCTACATATACCTCTTAGGAACAACAGCAGTTCAAAAAAATCTTTTTTCTTTATCTCCAAGATTTTTCCTGCTGCCGTACTCCTTTTTTTATCTAAGATTAAAAAAGAGTTCATTTAGATAAAATAGCACACTTTTTTTTTCTCTTTTCTCTCATTTGTTTGTTTGTTTTCAGTCTGATTATTTTTTCAATTTATTTAGCCACACAACCACATAAACAAATGTGCTGGCATAATGTGGGAGAAGTGGAAGAGCTGCTTAATTGAGTTTAAACAGTACTGAAAACTGTTTGTACTAAAAACAAAACCACAGCACAAGAAATTAGGTGCTTGGAAAGGACTAGCTGAATGGTCTCTGGGTACTACCTTACCTTATAGGGTCTTCCTGCTCACTCTTTTTTTCATGGCAAACATGAGTTTTGCAAACAAAAGATTTTAAGCACATTCTGAACTATTACAAAGGAGTACTGAAGAAAATCAAAAGCTGAAAGCAGCTTGCTTACTAGGTCATTATGGCCAGAGTACTTTGCAGTCAGCATCCCCCAAATGATTATGATTTTTTCCTCTCAGTATCTTTGTCTCATTTTCTACTTCAGTTTTCCTTTTGATTCTTATCAATCCTCACAGCTCAACTGTACACTCATTTCAAATAATGACTGTAAAGCTTTATTTTAATAGCTCATTTTGTAAAGTGATTTTGAATGTACTTCTATTTTGTTTGCTAATAACCTCTTCTATCACTATCAAACACATTGCTTGTGTTGTCCTCACTGAAGAGCAGCACTGTACCTATCAATTTCATACCTACCCCTAAAAAAAAGTTAAATGAGATCTGCTTATACAATTCAACAATAGAGATGAAATTTGCAAAGGGAGCAACGTTTCTAAAGCCTCTTACTGACTTTGAACCAGGAGATCTGTAAAAAGAGGTCTCTGATAGGGGATTTCATCATGGTATAAATCTGTCACATAAAGACTTGTATTTACACACCACATCCCTGTGGGGACAGAGAAGGAGAAGTCACTGCTGCTAAATCTCAGTAATTCTTTTTCCTTCTGCTAAACAGTTTCAGTCAAATAGTCCTTAGCACCTGCACTTATGTCAGCTACAGCTGTGGTTTAGTGCATTCAGTTTCAGATGGTCTTCATGTGTTTGATGAATTTTTTTTGGTTGTTTTTGTTTTAGGTGGGAGCTTATGCCTGAATTTCCCCAAGAGAGAAGTTCTATCAGTTTAGTCACCTTAAATGGATCTTTATATGCTATTGGAGGTTTCGCAATGATTCAGCTTGAAACTAAAGAATTTGCACCCAGTGAAGTCACTGACATATGGAAGTAAGTTTAACTCTGATTATACTTTCTTAATGGAAGGCTGCAACTTACCTGTAGGTTTCTAGACACTGGAGAGTAAAATCCATATCTAAATGATGATAGCAGCGCTGAAGCATCATGGTGAGAACATCTCTCTCCTGGTGTGGAAGACAGTAACCCTCTCCTGCTGCACAGTGCATCATGTGGTTGCTACAGCCTTTTGCAACACGTGGATTATTCTCCATTTCATGGTTAGGAGGGAAGTGTCCAATGTCAAGAAGCTGTGTTTTGACCTCATCTTGTTAAATGCAGGTATGATGACGAGAAGAAGGAATGGAGTGGCATACTCAAAGAGATCCGCTATGCTACTGGAGCCTCCTGCCTAGCGACACGCTTAAATCTATTCAAACTATCAAAACTGTAAATAAAATGCTGGAAAATATATGATATGGTGAGGGAGTTTTGATAGACTTGTCTGGTTTTGTTGCATGAGAATATCCCCAAATTGTACAAAGTTTTGTAGCAATGTACTAGTTATTCTATCCAAGTCTTAATATAATTACTAACTAATCAACAAGAATTGAATTATTGCTAAAGTTTAAAAACCTCAACAATTCTGACAAACATTTTTTAGAATAAACAAAAAGTTCACTGATAATTTGTGAACTTGAAAACTCCTGGGATTAAGTGATAAAATTAGAATGCCTTTCACCCAGACAAGCCAGGATATTGGAGGTTACTCTCCAATTTACGATGCTATGGAATTACTCAATTGTTAACTACCTATTATTGTATTTAACTTTGTTCTAACTGCTGTTTGTATAGCCTGATTTCCTCCTTCAGCAATGTATGTAAATCCTACATTCTTTAGGCAGATCTTAAAAAGTATTTTCATTAGACCCTTTTAAAAACAACTAATCTGATTTTGAAGTGAATATTGAAAATAGGCTATATTATGTAGCCTAAGAGACATCAAGCTCCACTAAAGTTAGATTCATGGCTCAGCTCTGAGCAAGACAGAAAAAGTTACAAGGTTAATTGCTCTGGAGATTCACTTGCTGTGTTTTGCCTTCTAGTAACAAGGATTTTCCTTTTTTTTTACGCTTTTGTACTTATTTCTAAAGCAAAAATTAAACAAAAATCTTTCTCAGAGATCTGAAAGCATTAAAAAAAAGCATTAGTGAAAAGCCTTAGAATAAATGATCATCAACACATAACCACAGCAGAGAGGACTTTTCCCATTGGCCTTCTTGGCCCTGAGGGCACACTGCTCACTCATGGTTAACTTAGTGCCAACCAGGACTCCCAGGTCCCTCTCCGTGGAGGTGCTTTCCAGCAGGTCGACCCCTAATCTGTMCTGRTGCCTGGGGTTATTCCTCCCCAGGTGCAGGRCCCTGCACTTATCCTTATTGAACCTCATGAGGTTCCTCTCTGCCCAACTCACCAGCCTGTCCAGGTTCCTCTGGATGGCAGCACAGCCCTCCGGAGTGTCAGCCACTCCACCCAGCTTGGTGTCATCTGCAAACTTGCTCAAGTTTCAAACTTGCTTCCTTGATTAAGGGAATGGAACATCTCTTGTATGAAGAGAGGCTGAGTGAGCTGGGCCTGTTTTCTCTGGAGAAGAGAAGGCTCAGAGGGGATATGATTAATATAAGTTCAGGAAGGGAGAATGCAGGGAGGAAGGGGACAGGCTGTTTTCACTGGTGGCAGCGATAGGACGAGGGGTAATGGCCACAAGCTGGAGCATAAGAAGTTCCGTCTCCAGGTGAGGAGCAACTTCTTTACTGTTAGGGTAACAGAGCAGTGGAACAGGCTGCCCAGGGAGGTTGTGGAGTCTCCTACTCTGGAGGTCTTCAAAACCCGCCTGGATGCTGCCCTGTGCCGCATGCTCTAGGTGTGCCTGCTTGAGTGGGAAGGTTGGACTAGATGATCTCTAGAGGTCCCTTCCAACCTTAAATATTCTGTGATTCTCTGACTTTTCCACCTAATAAAGAACCAATGCTTTTTTTCATGTTAAAGCTTTTAACTAGTAACAATTAAACATTGTTTTAAAAACTATAAATATTCAGTCAATGGTGTCATTTTTAGTGATCTGCAGCTTGTTGTCACTGTCACAGTGCAAAGACACATATTTCTTAGTAGATGCTTTGCCCAAAAATGTAAAAGTGCCTTCAATGTTTTTTGAAGTACAGCACACCCACCATTTCTATAGAGTACCTCTCTAAAAGATTTCTTCTGTGAATAAAGTGGTCATCCTAAGTCTAATGCAACATAATTGCATGTTCTGTGCCACATGCTCTAGGTAACCCTAAGTGTGCAGAGAGGTTGCACTAGATGACTTCTGGAGGTCCCTTCCAACCTTAAGCGTTGTATGATTCTGTAGTCTCCTCCTCTGGAGATCTTTAAAACCTGCTTGGATGCAGCCCTCTGCATTCTATGGTAATACAAACTGATACATAAGGAAATCTGGAAAAGAAACCCCTGCTGGCTGAACAGCAATTCTAGCTTTTGAATGACCATGTGCTTTGTCTGTGCAGAGAGAGAGGCAAGGCCAAGCCTAAGGCCTGGCCAGCACTGTTCAGCTCCTAGTGCACGGGGCTACTTACTCTGGGCCTTCTTCACTCTTTTCTCCCTTACTATACGGACCACCACCTTCCCATCTGCTCTGACTAAACTCCTCACGCAGATCACTCGCCATCCACACTAGCACTTGCTAATTTCATTTAGCAAGAAAATGACTGCACAGTAACAAAAGCAGCACATTTTATTGAAACACTTATTTTACATTTAGATTTTTCAAGATAGATATACTTTCTGAATTCGCTCATAGTAAATTTTCATCCCTCCAGTTGTGCATACTTATAATATTATCCATACATGATTTAAACATACCTGGCTTGGCACAGAGTGACACCTCAAAAACAGCTCAATCACACAACCGTCCATCACTGCTCACTCAGCTACAACCACTGCTACCCTCCCTGTGCTCCACAGTTGCTACTTCAAGCCTGTCTATATAAAAGCAGGATCCTGTGCAGACAACTGACTCCTAGGCCAAGTTCAGCAGATAATAATGTCATTTTATGGCAGCATTGTCACAGACCCATATACTTAAACTAAACTTAAACTTCCACAGATTTTAAACATCCTTATTGCATTTTTTTGACCCACTATGACTTTTACAATTCCTAGCAAATTCAGGATTACATTGCTTGATACCTGATGCCTTGTGCAAACCTTGGTCCAGCCAATTCCTAAAGAGGTTTTGGAAACTACATATTTCAGGTGTACAAGAAGATAAACTGATTACATGTCTTGTGCATCACTGTGTTTCATAGAGTTGCTTTTTCAGATATTCCAGTTGTGCTTCTTTTGTTGACAGAACCATAGAATTCCATTCAAAATGAGGAATCTGCAAGACAAAGTCATATAATCTTAATGTTGCTATTGTCTGAAATAAGGCACACAACACCTTGTGAGCATCTGAGAAAGGCTCTCTGATACTTACTATTGTCCACTTTTAAAATATCATCATCTGTGTTCCTTCTAAAATCTAGGCTTACCATTACACTTACAAGATTAATTTCTCCATCTTTTCTTTTTTCCTCTCCCCAAAAAGCTGTAAGAGTTGCAGAGATGCAAAGCACATACCCATGCAACACAAGCAGTGACAAACCCCAACCCTCTCCCACCTGAGGTGCTTTGAAACCCAAATAGAGAGAAAAATCCCCAATCACTATAGCTTGTCTTGTTAATTGGGGTATCAAAGTGGAAACAGTCTATCAGAAGCTTAACATTTAGTGTCAGAGAATATGAGAGAGGATGTTTATCCATTGGAAAAAAAAAAAAAGAAAAAAAAAAAAAAAAGCCAAACAAAAAATCCTCAGGGTTACAGAAGAATTCTGTTCAAACTACAGTAGGAAACGCCCTGACCACATACACAGGAGCACGGGCCTTCATGAGCCTCCAGTACTCGGCTCTGTCTACCCTGGAGGGTTCTGGTTCAATGTAAACCAAAACAAACCGCAAGGGTTCAATGTCAGTGTGTACATATGTACCACTTTGTTCTAGTATGAAAACTTTTGGTGATGTGAACTGAAATGCCTCTTTCACTCTTTCTCCTTCACTCAGGCTATGTGGAGATTGTGAATATGCTGCAATAAGGCAAGTCTAAGATATTTTGACTTTAGTTTGCTGTAAGGGCTTTTAGTGAAGGTATGAGCTCTATACAGTGCTTGCATCACCTCAAAAACAGCTTGAAAATCTGCTCTGCCAATCCAAATTTGCTCTTGTCCAGCAGGCACTTTTAATCACTGCAAGAGAACTACCTTTAAGAAACTACGTCAAAGAAAGTGCATCAATTTTCAGCATACATTGTTGACTTCTGACCTGAACTACCCGGTATCCCAACATTTCCAGGTGTCGTTTTTTCACTGCAGATTCTCCTTTCAAGTGATGTGAATCCTTGCTAAAGTCCTTTGCATCAAGAAATTCCAAGGCAATTCTGCAAAAAAAATAAAGATGTGTTTTACTTTAGGTTTTCCCTAGATATCAAAAAACAGGATTGATAGTTGCAGTAAAGTTATTACTAGATATGTCACAGCTCCTAGGAAAAGAAAAATGAAACAATTACTGAAACTAGACAAGGTATTTTCCCCTTGTAATTATCTACAGATGCTTGAGTTTCACGTGCTTCAGAAAAGCACTTCCTTCTTGTATCTGCATTTGGTTCAAATGGTAAAACCAGCTTAACCAGCATTTTCCAAGCATCATTTGAAAAAGTGGGAGGAAAATTATATTTCCATTTCATGAAATGAGATGTCAAGAAGACCTATCTGCACTGGGGAGGCTAAAACCTCATAAAGAGTTTGGAAAAAAGAAACAGAAAAATAAATACAGGCTGCAACAATGACTTAGGATATAAGCATCAACAATGTGGTCTAAACTCAAAATGTAGCTCATGTACTAACCTCTGAGCACCTGGTGGTAGAGCCATGTCCTTGATGTCATGTTTTGAATGCATTCCCTCCGTATCGCCCAAAAGTATATTCTGAGCCATATAGGAAAGAGGTTTTTTATTTTCATCCAGAATACATTCAAAATCTGTGGAGGAAAAAAAAAAAAAAAAAAACCCACAACAAAAATCCAGTATGCTGTTATAAAAAGAAAATGAATGTGACCTGTGGAGTGTTTTACTTTAGAAAAAGTAATAATAATTAGAAATACCCAATTTATTTATTTACCCATTTATTATTGTTTAGAACTTTAAAATACTGTATTTTATACAAATTGTCAACATTTCTTATTTGTGATACCTTGTGACCTTAGCATCTGCATCCTCAGGGGCATTCTAACCTCAGCCATAATAGTAGCACAAGCCTCTAGCAACCTTTATGGGGTTACCTGCTCACCTATTTCATAGCAGTATGGTGTGAGAACAGATATTTTTGTGTAATGGCTTCCTCCTAAGATCTCTGCCAGCATCTTGTGAACGTGTCGTCGCAGTGAACTTGTTCTTCTACTGCCTACAAAGAGAAAATAAAGAGTTCATGCATCAACACTTCCACAGCTGAAGTTCTCAAGTTGAAATTAGTGATATTTTTGACAGCCAGCCTACTAGACAAAAGCTTTTCCACACATACCTGGTGTTATTTGATCACAAATTTAGAGACCATGTGATCAGCTTCTAGATGGAAAGTGGCAGATGTCCACTAGCATAAACTGCCAGTTATTTAAGGTGATAGGAAAAGACAGAAGGAAGGAGAGCAAATTTTGCCCAGCTACACTCATGTAAATCACAAGTTTCTACTCCAAGACATTTTCCCATTCACATGCCACAAGCAACACAATTTTCAGGTTTCACCTGTTTGATTTTGTTTGCTTTTGATCACATTGAGATTGTTAAATGGGCATTTAGTTATTGAGCATTTATTCCATGTATATCACACTATCTTCCGCTTCTTTATCTATTACAGACTGTTTCATACATTGCTCTGCAAACCATCTTCAGTCTCAGAGATAAAGTGGCTGGGTTTGGTAGACAGCAGAGTAGTACCAGAAAAATACACAGAGGAGATTCTGGGCTTGCAACAGTTGGATTTGGATTTTCTGAACAGATCAGTGTTTGAAAAATCTCAGCTTCTTCACTCATGACACTGAACACTCGACCACTAGCCTATTTCTCTGTCCCTCAGTCTTGATTCTTCTGAGGCAGACAACAAATTGTAAAGGATGCAGCAAGAATGCTCACGCTGAACGACTTCAGTGAAACGTTCAATCTTTTAAAGGAAGCAGGCATCAGGGGTCTATTCTGAAAACAGCACCTTATCCAACTGACAGTCCTGGTGATCCTGTTCTGGCCTCTCCATTCACCGTGCCATACATACTGTTGCCATGTATTTAAATTGTGAGTATTTTTTTATGTAGAAATTTCCCCCCACATTAATTGTCATAGGAAAAACTGCTTTACAACAACATTCCCAGGCAGGGATGCTTTCCAGGAACACATCCTCCATGGATAGCAAGGTATGTCTGAGCTGCTACGTGTGCTAGGGTTAGTATTTCATTTTTAGTACAAATGAAGTGTCTAGCAGACTACTGTAACTACTGGCAGCGAGGGAAGCTTTTCCTCTCCTGAGTTACTTACCTGTAAGCAAGACATGCTGGCAATAGCGCTCGTGAAACCAGGGGATGTGAAACTCGGGGCACTCCAGGCAGACTGCTCTGTTCAGTTTCATGAGGCACAAGCGGACCTTCTGCTTGGAGGTGTCAGGCAGGACTGAGTTAAACAAAATAAGGTGTGAGCTGAAACATGGAAAATCCGGTCCACCAGGCAAAACTCCTACGGCTGAATTCTTTACCGGACATATAACCATCTGGAAACATCATCTGTAGCATATGTCAGTATTTTTAAAACAAAACGTAAGTTTTTGTCCATTGCTTCCCTCTTAGCACTCAAAAAAATAACTGGATTATACAGAGGAATCTTTCCAGGAGACAATTTCTACAATAGAGCAACTCTACTACTCCACTTCTCATTCACATATAGGTGCCATTTCCATTTTTATGCTAAATACTACATAACCAAATTCATCAGAGAGCGAGATACTGACCTTCAAGCTCAGCATCCAATTTGCTTAGGAAAGGGACATTAAATATCATCTTGATCAGAACTGGAGGGAAATAGCCAGCCACTGCTAAAACATGACCAAGCAGCACCAAGTGGTGAGTTTCAAAACAACCTTTAAAAGACAAACACAATTATCTTGCAACAAATGATGCCAACTTGAAAGCTCTTGCCATGTTCTCACCCCTCCCAGTGACTCATCCAAGTTTCTCTCTTCACGTATTAAATGGACATAAAGAACTTTGGTGTATAACATAAAACTAGAAGCAGGATGGAGGAATTCTCTACCAGATATACCTTTGCACGGCTGCAGCAAGGTGTAAGGTAACCCTTCCCAATTCTTGCAAGAGGGAATGAGTTAGTCCTAAAAAGGGACAACTTTGCAATATTTTGGTACCCAACAAATTTTCATGCAGTTCTCCAAGGCTGTATCATCAGCCAAAATAATTCTGAGTCTCTCTACATTTTACCCGTACATTTTTTTTAAATGATTGATCATAAAATGTTTGCTCTTTCCAAATGATAATTCCCTGGGGAACACTGCAACAATTATTTCCAATAGCACTATAGCCAATTAAGCAGAATTTTTATTGTCTTTATATTAGAATTCAGGATGCCTTGCTAGTCCCTTATCAACAGCATTAACCTCTTATAAAATTGAAGTTTGGAAACCCAACAGAAACATATACTGAATCGTCAATGCTGCAATGGCAACATACAAAATGCACTTTTTTTCTTTGCTTAAAAATATGCCATTCTACACCATTTTTGCCAGTACCAATAATATCTTTCAATAAGACTTACTTATTTGATATCATCACGTCATCAGCTAATGCACTTACTCAAGTTAGAAATAAGATGCTGGATGCAGTTCTCAAAGAACTCTTCAGGAGCAGGAGGGTCATAGTTCAGAATAGAGAAAAGCTGGAGGATAAAATATATTTCCAAGGGATGGATCTGCAATAAGAAAATTCTAAATTAAGTCACTGTAAAATATTCTAATATTCTGTTAAAATAGAAAGAGTTTATAATCCATTCAGACTGGAAGTCTTTACACTAGATGAGCTATTTTAAAACTTTTTTTTTTTTTTAACCTTTTCATTTCTCAGCTTCCTCTGGACAAAAATGTATATAAAAATGCAAAACAAAACAAAACATTAAACTGCAGACATTGCTAAAAAATAAAATCTGATGTAGAAGATTCAAATGCTACTGTATGCTTAGATTTTAACAAACTTTCACCAATGTTGCCAATTAAAGATTCCCAAATAAACTAAATTGTTACAGGATGTTATAGAAGGTCTGCTATATAAATACCAGAATAAAAGGGAGGAAAAAGATATAAAGAAAACACAGTAATTTTTACCATGGACACAAACTACTGGGGAGATCCCCACAAAAACTATGCTATGAAAATGCTATGAAAAACTATGCTATGAAAATATAAACCCCATGTGATGCAATTTTGTTAAGAAAAAAATATTTTAAGATGACTAAATGTAAAACTGAATGCCAAGGATTTGACTTTCTAACACTGACTGAATAATAATATAAGAAAGGAAAATTTAAAAGAAGTGTAAAATAATATATACAGAAGAATAGCAGCTTGAACATATAACAGTGATGAACTTCAAATCAGCTGCACTGAAGAAATCCTTTAAAAAACACTGTAACTCTTCTCTACACTTCAGCAAAATCCCCACTCTCACTTATAACAGTGAGTTCAGGAAAATGCCACTCTCCAGTTAACAACATTAAATTCCATTTATCTGGAGTTTGAATCCTGTTTCATTCACTAATAACCTGTTCTTTCTTTTGAATAACTTAAACAGTAGAATAAAGGAAAACAAGCATTACCTTGTCTATATTTTGAAGAGTCACAGAAGCTATTCTGTCAAGTAGTGAAACAGAGCGGTGATTTGCTTTCATAAGAAAAAAAGAAAACTGGAGCACATTTGCAAACGTGACTTGGTCCACCAAGCGCTGACAGGCAGCCATGGTTTCTCCACAGAGGACTTCTTCAAACCAGTCACCGTTCACATAGGCCAGTTCTTCCAGCAGAAGGTGCAGGCTGCCGGCTCCCCGAAGCCGCGCAAAGGCGCAGCGGTTCAGCTCCTGCAGCAGCCTGGCACCCCGCTCCGGGGGGCTCTGCAGCTGCCCGAGATGGCTCCACTTGACAAGAGCGGCGGCGATGCAGTTCAAGCAGGGGAGCCTGCACTGGGGCAGAACCGCGGCCGCTTTCGTTACAAGGATTTCCTCCACCTGAGTGGAAGGAAGCATGGCCACAACACGAATTATTGCTGCTATATCAGCAGGGACAACACTAGATTTTAAAAAACTGGAAGAAAGACAGAAATAAGGACAGAACATCAGTTTTGACAAAAGTACAAATGTTTTAAATAAATAAATGTGATGCACATGAAATTTGTATTTGAGAAGTCACAGTTGCTCATCATCCCAAATAAGATGTAGGAACTGAACGACATAGCAACTGTGTGAACTACTACTACCATTTTTTTTTTCATTCTGAAATTATTTTATCCTTCTAATTAATTCAAAGTTTAAAAACATCAGAGCAGAGGCTGTTTCTTAAGTCAGTTGGTGATGCTTCAAGTGCCATTGATGAAACAGAGAAGTCTTTAACAAGGGCAGATTCTGCAGCTTTTCTAGGACCCAGGTAATTTCAGTGACTGGAAAATTATTTTTTTCTCTGCAAGAGACCTGGATGCTGCTTGAGGAACACAAACGTATCAAGAACAAAATGTTCATGCACCTCTACGGGTGATGCAGCAGTGGAAGAGTCATGGCAAATCTCCATGCCCTGACTCCTGAGGTGGCTTCTTCTCTGAGTGGTAACTGTTCAGCCCTGAAACCTAACTTGAAAGTTTTTCAGTCAAAACGAGAATATTTCTGCTTTGTACTTTCAATTGTTCTGACTACAGCCTCCTTATTGCATATTTATTACCTGTTCCTTCAAACTTCAAAGTCATTAATACATATTCTCCCTATAAAATATCAAAATTACCTGCTGAATGTCATTATACTGCAATAGGAAATGGATCTATTTGAAATGTTATAATATTTATTAGCTGATAACTGCCAGGCTATAGACAAGACTATAATCTTGTCCTAACCTCCACTTTAGGTTTAACAGAATCAAACTGGTTTCACAATTTGTTACTTTTTTGTATTTTATGGAAACAAAACAATACAATTTAACATCTTGATATTTAAAATACCAAGCAGACAACCATTTAATACTTAAACTAACCAGGCCTTTACTTTACCAAATAGACACACTTACCCAAACAGCAACTTTTTTAGTTTGTCAAACAGCTCCAGATCGTGGCAATGTAACAATACCAAGTACTGTGTTAGCCTTACCAACTGTAATGTATGATAGTTATCCAAATGTTTGTGCAGAATAGAAGCCATTCTGAATACAAATAGAAAAAGACAATACAAACAGAAAAAGTAGTATTACTACACTAATGTGGAAGACATTACCAAGTGCAGAACCTCACAGGAAGAAGAGCCGTCCCACAGTGCATGGTACCCAAGTGGAGGGCTGCACACACCTGGGCTCCACTCCATCCTAGTCATTTTGATGGTATTCTGTTGCTGCAGTTAGGCCGGGCTAAAGCTAGAAGACAGGGCTAGATGTATAGACAGTATTTTTCTCTTCAAGACTTTGTTCAGCCAGTGAGGTTCAAGAACAAAAAGCATGAATTTGCTTGTCTTCCGAATAACACCACACTCCTGCTTTTTTTCCCCAAGGATCTGTTTGGTTCATGCAGCTACAACACGGAGTTGTTGCCCACAAATTGTGCTTACCTCTGCTGCATCTGTGTCAAATTTGATGGCAGTCTTCAAGATCCAAAACCTTACCAATTTCCCTTCAGTGTATCAAAGCTATTACCTCTCTATAAACCCTGCTCAATTGAAACCTGCAGGAAATCTGGCACAAATTCTTACTTAAAGATGCAATACCTATTATTTTAAAATAGGGTGTGATAACTCCTAAAGAAAAAATTCACGTTAGCAACAGGATTTGTTAGATTGGACACATTCTTTACCTTCTTACTACCTTCTCGTTTGTCTCTTCAGTTAACAGTAACACTTGCTACATATCCTTTCAGCCAGATGTGATATTCTGAAGTCTGTAACTTGTTAGATACAGAGCGTATGTCTATGAGAGACAGAACTACCTACCCCTCACAGCCAGTTTATTAGATATTATGGTTTTCTATATTAAATGGAAGTAGTTTATGTAGAGAAAACAATTTTCTACTAGTATCAAAAATTACTTTTGGAGTAGATGAGAATTTTTACATTTCATCTTCTGCATTGTTTTTAGTATTACCAATACTTGATAACTGCTAAATTCTTCTGCCATGCTCACTGCAGTAGCCAGCAACCTAAAGAGAAAAACGAGAGACACATCTTACAAAGAAAAGCTGCTGAAAATCTGCAATAAACATTGTAGCAATTTTCCTTGTCTAGAAAAGAAGGAAAAGTACCAAAAGAAATACTTTATGAAATTTGTGGAAACATATTTCCCCCAAACTAGAGACCTCTGTTCTATATACCCTTCTTCTAAACAACTATTCATGTTGCATGGGTAAGATGAAAATGTATAAGATCAGTTTGCATTGCTCTGATAATAGAAATGAGTGACCCAAGCACTTTTGCAAATAAACAAAAAAAATGTAGGTACTCTAAGACACCAAACAATCCACCAATGAACAGGCAAGAATGGGTTGAGCCATAAATAAATAGAAATGTGACTACATTTACCTTTCTCTTACCGCGGGTTCTGCCATAGGCCCAAGAGCAAAAAACAATTTTGTAAAAGTTTCGGGATCATTGTAATCATCTATAGATTTGGACAGCAACTGTTTAGCAACCAAGCGGAACTCAGCATTGTCAAAATCAAGCTGCTCATATAGTCCAAAAATAAGACTAATATTGTGTATATCGAGATGGCAGGCACTTTTGAGGAAAATTTTGTTGCATTTTTCTAGCAATGGACGATGTGGCAGTTTAATATTTTGAAGAAACAATGCTATTCTCCTGGCATAGTTGAAGTGGACTTCACTCTCTGCCCCCAAGAGCTGTTCGGCCTTCTGTATTAGTCGATCTCGAAAACTCTGCGAGACAACATCAGATATGCTGATCATCAAAACGGACAAGACCCTGAAGAGAAAAAAAAAAAGAAAATTCATCACACATACACATTGAATACTCAGTATTAGGTTCTAGATTTCTTAAATAAATTAGCCAAAGCAGGCACATTAGTCAAGGTGTTACTAACTTCTGTCTCAAGAGAAATTTTAGGGATTTTTCTACTACTACTTACAGAGATTTGTGATGAAAGTGTTTGCCCAAGGCAAGTCTTTCATTCACATTTTTTAAAATATCTTTTGTGCTCAGCAAAAAATAAAACTATAGAAAATTCAATTTCACAACTCTCAAGAAAGAGAATTGAGAAAAGAATCACGAGCACTCTCGAAGAAAACCTGCCTTCCTAAGGAATTAACGGGGAAAAAAATGATGACCAATTCTGCAAGGAAATGCAGCTCCATTTAACGACTATTTCATAAACAGCTTCCTCCTCCTTCAACCCTCAGCTACAGCTAACGGTGCTGTTTAAAGCAACAAAAGACAGCAGCCTTTGCTAGAAGGGCGCAGGGAGAATATAAGCAAGGAAGAACAAAAAACAAACAAACAAAAAAAGACTTTTAGTACTGGGTGCTGCTTTTAAGTTATTTTATAAAGCTTTGAAGATAAATAAAAATAATATTGTTTTGAGATTGTTTACTGCTATTCACAGTAGTAAACTAAATCCACGTTGGGGCAGAAAAACTACTAATGTCATGGAAGAAAGACATTTTCTGATTTTCTGGTGAGTCAGCAGTATCTAAATTCTCAAAAAAAAAAAAAAAAAAACAGTATAATTTACAATCAGGCAAAGTAGTACCTGATGCCTTTTTCCCCATTGTAAGCAGATCATTATTTTTAAAATAGTTCTTAAATCGGTTATACAGAAGTTTGTCCCAAAATAATTGAGAAAATGTATTCTCCTGAATGAATTCATCCATGAAAACCAATGTCCTTACACAAATCATCTCTCTTCCACAAACCCTGAACTACCTTCAGCTGAGAACAGGCAAAGTGTTTAGTGAGCACAACCCCGTGGTATCATGGTATGTTGCTTCCCCACTTACCTTATATCCTGTATAGAATCCAATTTCGTGTCTACAATATGAGCTATTTTGCCAAGTAAGGGACTAAAATGCATGTGCTGCTTGTATAAACACAGTGCAAATTTAGATAGAGCTGGCAAACTAAGTCTGTTAAAGACATCAAATAGAGAAAGAAAGCGTGTTTAATTTTTAATTTTAGTGAATACCTAGAAGCAAAAATACGACAATTAGGTAACAGGTAAGATTATATTTGAATTACAAAACATGAAAACGAAATATCAATAAATGGCAACACTTCGGACTTTGCCAAAGTAAGTTAAAATATACAAAGCTATTACTTAAACACCTACAAATTTTCTACCAAATCATACCAGGTGTACAGAGCTTTGAAAAAACATGGTAGTTCTTTGGTTTAGCCAGATCACTATAAGAAAATTTATTGCAATTATCAAGTCATAAATTGTGAAAAATCTAAAACGAATTTGAGCAATTTATTATTTGAATATAATTTTGTGTTCAGACTAGACTGCATTTATTTACTTGTCAAGCTGCCCCACCTGTTAAGCTAGAACAAGGAATTCTGTGATGCTAGTGACAAAACTGACACTAGCTCTTGACAGCAACCAGAGATTAAAGAACTAAAACTAAAACATCAAAAGCCAAAAAAAAAAAAAGTACACAATGGGAAAATGCTGAGGTTTTAATTAATATATTATTTTTACTAAAATTAAGCAAGGAGTCCTCATTCCCATTGGAGAGTAGGACACCAAGAAGTGTGTACTAAAATTAAATTGTAAATGATAGAACTTCCAACTTATTTCAAACACATACACCCATACAAATAACGTATTTTAAAATCTTAAAGTGTCAGTTCTCCACTGCAGCACGATTTAAACTTCATCTTGAATATCTGTGCCCCAAATACCATCAATATTCAAAGTATTCATCTAAAGAAAAAAAAACCCACCACACCTATACTCATAAAACCCTTCAAAAATACAACTGACATTCAAAACACATGCAAAATGTTTAAAAACTCTCGTAAATACTCTTCGAAAACTCTTAGGTAAAGCAACTACACTTGCAATTTACAGCTTTCAAAGAGGACAGCAGCACAGTACTTGCCTTTCTAATCTTTTCCACCCTTCTGTAACAAGAGCTTCTGCTAGAGAATCATGGTCTTCAACGTTCAGCCTTCAGAACAGTCAAAGACAAAACAGTTTAAAAATTTGCTTCTAAAGCTATGAAGATAGCTTTAGCTATGTAAAAGATAAACATCCTTTTATTATTATACAGTTTTACATTTCTATCACTCCATCCAAACATAAAATAGCTAAAAACAGATTAGAATAATTTATGCATTAATAATCCAATCCCTATTGAAATTGCAAAACATTAATCGTTTTGTATCTGGAAAATTGAGACACAGAAAGCGAGGCAAGCTGGCTTGCAAGCTGTATGGGCCACAGAGCACTGAAGCTCAGAGAGGACAATCTGTTTGTGATCTGAATTTTGACTACAAAGTCTTTTAGACTTATTCTTTTCAGCTACAAAATATAGCATCATAAGAGGACGGCTAGTTTGCATGGGATTTAACATCTTCACTGTAACATTCTCAGCGAAAAGTTTTCTAACCATAGAAATGAACCAGCAATAGGAAAGTTAGGAGAAAATCATTTATCAGATATTGCAGTAAATAAAAGGTTTTAAACAGTCTATTTTTAAGGATTTTGTTGAACTGACTTTTGATAAATGATATAGAAGTCAGCATAATACTGCCTACCTCAGAATATTGTATAGGGTGTCCACTACGACATCATTTTCCATATGCTCTACTTTGTTTTCTGCCAAAATGCGAAGAGTAAGAAACTGGGAGTGATTTCTTATATAGTTGCTAGTCCTTAATGAAAGTGGCTTCTTCTTCTGTAACTGCCACAGCACATTGAGTGCACTTCCCACGTGCTTTTCAGAAAGCCTGGCCTTGTTCCTTCCAACGAGACCAAAGAGTTCATCTTCATGGGAGCAGCCATTTATCTGGCTCAGAAGCAGGTCACTGCTCAGGGTCCGAGCCTGGCGATATATTTGTGTGAACGAGCAAACCTGCCTCCAACAAAGCATTTTGTTTTGTTTCTCAGGTGTCTTCAAAGTGTCCTGAAAGATTCCTTCTCTTTTCAGTGAACTATGTTGTTACAAAGTTGGGCATTTGAAAAACTGAAGCTTGTTTTTTCTTTTGTCCCGTACAGTTACCATATTAAGAAGAATTCAGTTATAACGCACCTGTAATGAGAGTAAGGCAGTTAAATACAGTCATAACTACCAGTTAAAAATCAATGTCTCTATGTCCTCGTCCCCAGTCAGCCTTAGCTGGGGCACTGGTGTGTTTCTGACCATGCGAACACCCCACCTGCACCGGGCCCTTCGGAAAGCGCTTACACTGCGTAAAGAGCCGCAGGCCTCGTGCACAGGCCTCGCACGAGACCTCCAGGGAATGGGATGGCCCATTTTTAGAGAGAGAAAAAAAATCTACATTTGTTTGAAGGATGCTTTTGTAAATAGTGTGCAACTAGTAAATGGTCTTTCACTATTGTCTTGTCAAACAGATTTGGGTAAGATCTGGAATTCCATTGAGGATGGCTATAACAAACAAAAACGTTAACTAAAACCGGCTTAAATAAGGCAGAGCTACAGGGGAAGGGAAGATTTACCAACTTATCTCGTGCCAGAGCCCGCGCGACTCCTGACTCGCCATTCCGGACACGAAGAACTGGGTTTCGGGACGCACAGAGGCGGCTCCCGGGATTCAAAAACGACCTCCCCCTGCGACAGTGAATCCCAAACCACCTCCCCGCTCCCACGAGGCGCTCGGGGCCCCTTCCCGCCGCGCGACTACGCGCGGAGCTGCCGGCACTTCCTGCTGCCCGCCCGCCCCGCGCGGCCGCCCGCGCCGCCAGGTGCCTCCCTCACCGCGCTCACCGCGCGCCGCTGCTCGGGGAGGGGGCGGAGCGGCGCTGACGAGGCGGGC